GCAGGAATCCAGCAAACTAAGTGCATTAGAGATGAGTTCAGTAATGTTTTGTAACTTCCTTTACTGTTCCCCAAACCATGCTGTTCTCTTTCAGCACATTCATGTCAACTGTTTGACTTTTTGCTTCATTAAACTTTCATTAGAAGATAGTCAAAATTAATGATTGGTAAACTGGCTTGATAGCTCATTTGTGTTACTACATGTCCGCAACTCATATTTTAAAATAAGTTTATAAGCTCAGCAGTTTCAACAAAACTCCGACAGTAACTCTCCCTCACCCAAGGTGGATGGAAAGAGGGACAGGACAGAGGCCAAGAATGAGGGTCCTCGGAGCACCCTCCACATAACAGGAAACATCAGGAGAAGGAAAGAAGCATAGTTATGTGATATCTGTGCTCTCATATATGTAACTGGTCCACAGTCACATAGGCTATAAGTGGCAGAGCAGACTGAAAGCATTTCCTGTGCACTTGACCCACATATTATAGTACCTCACAAAGAGTTTCTAAGTTCTTAACTGTCCTCCTTTTTCACTGACGTTAACTGCTTTTTCTTTTTAGCTCTAAGATGCTTTTCAATTAAATACATATTTATTCAGCAGCTGCTATGTGCAGTGCTCTAAAAGGAATAAAATGGTACCAAAACATGATCCTTGTTCTGTGGGTATCCCTGGCCTTGGAGTGAGCCTTGAGAAAGAGAGAGAACCTATAGGAAGATGTTACCTCAACTGGATGTTCTTGCCTTCTGGGCAAGCCTTAGTGTTTTGTATGATACAAAATACTGGCAGTTAAGTTGGTTGTTTTGACATAATTATTACATGAGAAGTTTAACTGGGAACGATCTCAGATTCAGATACATTTCTGATGCTTTCTAAATGCAAACATATTTTAGTCTTTCCTTCTTTTCTCTATCCAGTTGTCTTCTTTGAGTCATTAATTCATTCAACAGTTTTAATTGGGCACTTCTTTGAAAAGTTTCTTAGTAAGTGTGGTGGCAAACATAAAAGTTTACACAACTCAGTACCTGACCTCAAGAGTTTTATATCCCTGGGGGCCCTGGCAGACCATTGATCAGGCTGGTACTTTTCAGCATAGATATTTCTCCTTTGTATTATTATCACTTTGGCTTGATGGAATCAGGAAGTGGTGACTTTTCAGAGCCTTGGGAATGCCAGGCAGTGAAGAGCTTAGAGTTTTTGTGGAAGACGTTCGTTCAGTAGAAGATGATCAGACCTGTTGTCTCAGTGCCCTTGTTGTTAGAAAGAAATTGTTTCAAATATTTGTTTCAACCATTTTTATTTAGAAACTTTAGCAACAATAAGATCACAGACATTGAAGAGGGAGCATTTGAAGGCGCAGCTGGTGTAAACGAAATACTTCTCACGAGTAATCGTCTGGAAAATGTTCAGCATAAGATGTTCAAGGGATTGGAAAGCCTCAAAACTTTGTAAGTATTCTTATTTGTATTGTGATTCTTCTACCACAGGGTTGTAATTCCCAGGTCATTATATTCCTGGGAGGGGGAATAGCTCCTGCTTTTCCTCATCCCCCTGATCTCTGCTCTGTCTCTGTCTCTCTATATCTGTCTCTGTATATGTCTCTGTATCTGTCTGTATCTCTCTCTCTCTTTCTCTCCATCACACACACACACACACACACACACACACACACACACACACACACACACACACACACACACACACACACACGCACGCACATTTTGTAGAGGCAAATGTCCCTGGGGCTTCCCTGGTGGCACAGTGGTTAAGAATCCGGCTGCCAATGCAGGCTACATGAGTTTGAGCCCTAGTCCGGGAAGATCCCACAGACCGTGTGCGGAGCAACTAAGCCCGTGCACCACAACTACTGAGCCTGCGTGCCGCAAAACAGCGGAAACCCACATGCCTAGAGCACAAGCTCTGCAACAAGAGAAGCCACTGCAATGAGAAGACTGCACACTGCAACCAAGAGTAGGCCCCGCTTACTGCAGCTAGAGAAAGCCCATACAGCTACAAAGACCCAACACAGCCAGAAATAAATAAATAAAATAAATTTATTTATTAAAAAAAAAAAATCCTTGACTCTGATACCTCTGACTTCAGTATGCTGCTTGCAAATGATCAAAAGAACCTCTCCTGGCTGTTGAACCCTCAACAAAAAGATTCTCTTTGCTCCAGTGCTTGTACAGATCTGACTCCTCTGTTCTTCCTCAGAACAAACATTCTCTTTCCTTTTCCTCAAATACCTCCACCTAATACTCTCTCTTGGCCCAAGGTCACTAGCTTCATAACCCACTCCAACACCTGCAGCAGAATAAGCCTAGCTGGAGACTGCCTTCATCTGCCCCTGCAAGGTCTTAGTGAAAAAGAGAGAAACTGGCTTGTGGTATACCTTTTACTGTCTATTTCAGAGAAAACATGCTAAGTGTATGTCTACTTATTCAGCGGTAGGGAGGTTGGGAAAAAGAAATCCTATGTGTTTCCAGAAGATTGTTGGCCAAGGAAGCTGGGGCTTGAATTGACGAGTAAGGACAACACTTTGAGTTACTTGAATTTTCTTCTGTGTGTATGCGTAGTTTTCATAATCTCTAAAGCATAAAATTATGTTTGACAAAAGTGGTGGCCTAAACATTGGAAGAGACACCAACGAAACTCTGAAGCCTTTGGAAGACACGAAGGAAATTATTTGTAACCAAGACACGCCCTTGGGAATTGCAAGCTCTACTGTCTCCCCCAAACCCTCACCCTGCCCCATGCAGCCACCAAGAGCCCTCGTGCCCAGGGTAACTGAGAGCCAAGGAAGTTCTTTGCCTGCCCTTTATCAGATGTAGTGGGAGAAGGCATTTCCCCAGCCAGCAGCATCCCCAATTCACATCCTACTCAAAAAAGCCCCTGCCCATGAAAGGAGAGCTTCCTGGGGTAGCCTGGAACCGAACCATCCAACACAGCCAACCTGCCACCTGCTGACCGCTCCCATAGGCTAACTAGGAGTCCCTTCGAAATGCAAAATGTAATGCAAATATCCCTTTGGTCTTTTTATGGAGGAGATCCTGGGAGTGTAGAAAGCGGACAGAGAAGGTATATACTATAAGTAGTGGTTAATATCTACTCCTGCGCCTATTCCCCTCCCCCAAGCTGCCTCAGGTAACTCAGCAAAACATAAATCCTGCAGCAGGCAAAAGTCTCCCTTCTTAAATAGTAGCCAAGTGACTGTTGTAACTAGAACCTTCTCCTTAAGGGGGCAGTGTGAGTCGGGATGGGGAGGGGAGGAAGAGGGGTGAGCCTGTAACTACCTACATTAGATAGCCTTGGGCTGCTGTAACAAGCTAAGTGACTTAAGCAACAGGAATTTGTTTTGTCATTGTTCTGGAGTCTGGAAGTCCAAGATCACGATCACGGTGCTGAGAGGGTTGGTTCCTGGTGAGGACTCTTTTCTTGGCTTGTAGATGGCTACCTTCTCGCTGTGTCCTTGCGTGGCCTTTCCTCTTTGTGTGGGAAAAGAGAGCTCTGGTGCCCCTTCCTCTAAGGACACCAGTCCTATCAGATTAGGGCCCCACCCTTAGGGCCTCATTTCACCTTAACTACCTCCCTAAAGGCCCTGTCTCCAAATACAGTCATACTGGGGGTTAGGGCTTAAGGATATGAATTTCGGGGGGACACAGTTCTGTCCATAGCACCACTCCAAAGAGTTGATCAAAGTATTTTTTTCTGACTAGGTCCAGTCACAGGACTCTCTGTGAGACAAGTTCTCTAAATTCAGCCTTCTCCTTTGTTATATTTCTAGCAATGTTTTTGTGCCTCTTGTGTTTTGGCACCTGAGACAGACACCCACTGACTCTCTACTTAATCCCACTGTACCTCAAGCAGCAAAACAGATCATTTAGACCAAGCTAGGAGTATTAACAGTTCTTCTGTGGGTTAATTGGGACATAGCTATTGCTTTAAGTGGTCTCTTTCAGCTTGGAGCTGTAAAGATTTTGACAAGACCCTCCTCACAGCCTGTAGACTTCTCAACCCTTTAGGACTAGTAAGCCTCTTAGTTCGTACATGTACATATTTCAGTGGGTCTTTGAACCCCCGACGTTGCAGGCAAAATGTGGCACATATGTGTGTTTGTGGATTTTTCCAGTGACGGAAAGCAAAGCTTTTTTCGACTTTTCCCAGGAGTCCGTGACTCCAACAAGATTAAGACCAAATGTTCTTTACTATTTATGACAAAGGATAGTACTGATAGGACTACTTTTCTGTTGCGCATTTGTTTCCTAACATAAAACGATGCCTTGATAAGGAGGGCATTATCCTTTCTTGTTGTCTGCGACTTAGCAGAATGCAACAGCTGATATTTCTTATTTATTATAGGACAATCTAGAATTTATAGGAATGCTTTGTTGTTCTTTTTGCAGTCTTCTATCAGGGTGATCAACCCATGTCTAGAAGCATTAAGGAAAATATTAACTTTTCAGAAATTCTGAATAAAGTTTATGGCAACTGTTCATCTTTACATGGGAGTTTAAGAAGCTTTTCATTCCTTTTCTAAGCCCCACAAATAAACATTTTGGGAAAAGAATCGAGAAACAGCTAAAATTTTAGCAGTGATGAAGAAATGACAAAAGTGTTAATCCTGTTAATGGCAATGACTAAAGAAAAAATGGTCAGAATTTTTTTCAAGAGAAATTTTATTGTGAACAATGGGGATCTCTTAAGTATTGCCTCCTTTTAAGTCTAAACTCAAAACAAATAATTTGTTCAGGCTTTGTGGAAGCTCAGTCAGGTTTGCCTCCTCCAGCCCGTGTTGACATTGACTTGGCTGTGAATCCCTGAGATGCCCTCAGTTCTTCATTTTCTGTGGCTATTGATTCTTTTTTGCCTCCTTTCTCTTCAGCAGCAAATGTAATGCTTCTTAGAATATATAAATCATGGGGCTTCAAGGGCTTAGAGAGCTGCAGGTGAATTAGGACATTATGTAATAGTGCAAACATAATTGTATCATTAAAGGAAAACATTCTACCCTCACTGGATGGGGTTGTAAGCTGGTGCTGAGGCTCATGAGTTTTTGTAACTGAATGTTATCACTGACAACTCTAAGCATTTTATTCTAGCACAAGGTTCTTAATATAGTCGGCTCTCCATATCCACATGTTCTGCATCTGCAGATTCAAGCATCCGCGGTTAATGTGGAACCCGTGGATATGGAGGGCCACAGATTTTGGTATACGCAGGAGGTCCTGAAACAAATCTCCCAGGGATACCAAGGGATGACTTGTACATATCTACAGCAATTCCTAGTGACAGGACAACATTCAGAAAGCAGGAAT